GAGCCTTACAGGTAAGTGGGGTCTACTGACTGGTGAGCATTACAGGTAAGTGGGAGGAAGCTAGTTGTCCTACCGAATGGTGAGCCTTACAGGTAAGTGGGGTCTACTGACTGGTAAGCCTTACAGGTAAGTGGGGTCTACTGACTGGTGAGCCTTACAGGTAAGTGGGGTCTACTAACTGGTGAGCCTTACAGGTAAGTGGGGTCTACTGACTGGTGAGCGTTACAGGTAAGTGGGGTCTACTGACTGGTGAGTCTTACAGGAAAGTGGGGTCTACTGACTGGTGAGCCTTACAGGTAAGTGGGGTCTACTGACTGGTGAGCCTTACAGGTAAGTGGGGTCAATCTATTGTTTGCCAGATAGCAATGTTTGAAAAACAAGAGGCCCAGAGGTTCTGTATAGCTCACCTGTTTCTTTTGTTACATGAAACTGACATTTAGGTATCTTCAGACCAAATTTGGTAAGGCCTAACAAAAAAATATGTTACCGGCCAGCTGACCCTAATTTTACCGTGCGACCCTAACAATTTTTACGGCAAAAATTCCGGCATGTCAGGCTTTTTGTTACCTATTTTCCGTTTTAGACGCTTGTAATTTCAAGCGCTCTTTCGACACAGACTGTGTTTTAAGATGGCTTCCCTACACGCAACAGTGCTTGCATTAAAAATGTGATCATGTTGGCGACAAACGTTTGATGGCGGCGGTCCCTGCAACTTATTTAATGGCAGAAGTTCAAACACAAAAGCAAATCACCTCACTATTCTGTACACAGCCTGAATAAACTTTTGTAGTCGGGAGCAGCCTTTCAGTGGCAGACGTTATTAACTTTGGAGTTACCAATCTCGGTGACAATTCAGGATTGCTGACATCGCAAGGTGTGTTTGCTTGAATTTATTTTAATTTTGGGAAAGTTTTGAAAGCCTTGTTTAGAACAACATCTTCTAGGGTTTTAACTTATACATACCGTGAGTGTGGCTCACGAGACTTCTGCCAGATCTAAACTACTGGGTATCAAGGCAGCTGTGACAGCTAAAGTATTTGATTATTTTAATATCAGGAAAAACATTTATTTACCTGCTAAAGGGATCTACATGTAGCTATATAATTCAAAATGTTTAGGATGAAATATTAAAAGGAACACATATTTCATTGTGTTATTATAAATAGATGAAGTCAAAAGTAAATTCTTGTTTTTAATGTTATGTTCTTTTTTGCAGTAAAGCAGCTGATGAGGCAACCTCAAAGGCCATCAATGCCAAAAGAACTTTTCGTTGTAATAAATAATTACTGTTATTAAATGATATTGTATTGTTCTGTATTTAACAAGTATCACTGGCAAATCTGTCTTTGCCACCTCGTTTTAATGTCTTCTACAATGTAGTTTCATTGGTGATGTCTGCAGTATCTTTTTTTTGGTGTTCAATTTCAGGTATAATAAAAAATTTAAAAAATTTATATATCCCTAATTTTTTCCAGCATGTAACAGGAAACAAACGTATTTTTTTGTTAGGCCTAACTAGAATACACAAGACATTTTTACATCTCTTAAACGCTTGAAGATATTGTTGTTTGAAATTTGAAATTGAGATTTTAAAGCTTTTAACCCACGTTGACCTTTGACTCCGGCTTGCACTAAAAGTTGACCTTTGTCTCTGGCTAGCACTTAAAGTTGACATTTGACCTTATTACTGTAATAAAGAAAAAGATTTGCACTGTTTTGAATTTTTTATCATATTTGACCCCTGTGACCTTGAAAGTAGGTCAAGGTCATTTTAATGAGGAAACTTTATAGCACTCTATCCTGGGTAACTACTGGCCAAATATTATGACCCTGGGCCTTATGGAACTTGAGAAGAAGATTGTTAAAGCTTTTAACTCATGTTGACATTTGACCTCCAACTAGCACTTAAAGTTGACGTATGACCTCATTACTGTTATTAAGAAAAAGATTTGCACTGCTGGTCTACCAAATAGTTCTTAGGATATTGTCTTCGGGCGAGGTGAGCTAGCAAGTGATACTCACCAAATTGATAGATCAAGAATTGAATTACATAGATTATATAGCAGGAAAAACGGTGCATCAAGAAAACATGAAATAAAACCAATTTATCATATGGGTCCTAAAACTGAAATGGCCTTTATGATCAATGATTTCACATCAGAAGCCCCCCCCCCCTATTTTATTTGGGCAAAACCATTAAACTTTCTATTACTTTGACATCCACGCTACAAAAACCACTAAAAGTTGTATGAAATAAGAAATTAAAATGGAATTTGAAGTTTCATCTTTTATATACTTTAGTGTGTGTAGTAAATATTTACTTTGTACTAAAACTACTAAAAATATTACTGTCACCTGTATGTATCTGGACATAATCTGCCACTTTGCATGAAGTGAATAGAAATTTCCATTCTGATAGTTCAATACCAAAAAATAAAACAGTGGATATCTGTCACAGTGTGAAAGAGTTTTGTGCAATCTTTTTATAGTCCTATTGTAGATCCTGCAATGACCAGTGGAGCCAACTTAATACAAAATGTCACAGCTGCTCAGTACCTCTGCCAATCGATGTAATACATTTTTTGTGTATTAGGGCAACTTAAATGGTCTACTTAAAGCAGCAGTGATTTTCGAATGGCAAATCCCTAGAATACCCTTGATGACATATTCAATAATCACAAAATAAATTTGAAAGGCAAAATAGAAAATATCTTATATGCGTATATCAAATATCAGTGGCTATGCCATCATAAAACAACATTAGGAACTGAGAAATCCTGAAATTATCTTACCACCATGCCAATAGAATTCTTTTCTCCTGATTTGCAGTCTTCAATACTTTCATCCACCACCAAGTTCATAAAAGGGTCAAATCCTCGTAGAATTCCAGTGATTTGCCTTCCCCCATTGAGTTTCACTGTAGAAGAAAGGAAATTTTTCAAAAATGTATCTACAAATATCAGTAGATTTAATTCTGTATTCCTGTTGCAATTCTACATTTAATGTAACTAGATCTGTTATTGTTGTAACCCTGGTAAATACTAGCTGCAATATACCGCTCGGCTAGAGAGAACTTCTCTTTAGCTCGAACGGTTGAGCGTAAGACTAGTAAGCCAGAGGTCCCGGGTTCGATCCCATGCAGAGGTAGTGATTTATATTTAATTAATCATGCGCTCTGTTACCTTGGCGCCCACGTAGGGACCCGGGTGAATTGACAAAATACTCAGCGCTAGCTATACTTGCGAAGGAATGGCTATGACCGTGACCCCTGGAAGCTTGAGGACGAGTTCTTCCCTGGAGGGGGAGTATGTAACCCTGGTAAATACTAGCTGCAATATACCGCTTGGCTAGAGAGAACTTCTCTTTAGCTCGATCGGTTGAGCATAAGACTAGTAAGCCAGAGGTCCCGGGTTCGATCCCATGCAGAGGCAGTGATTTATATTTAATTAATCATGCGCTCTGTTACAAAAAACATGTCCCCAAATCCAATATGCAAATTTGCTTCATAGTTATATGACCTTTGACCTAGAGTTGAAGGTTAAAATGACAAATTTACATATTTTTAATTTGCACATCATCAACCAAGTTCTTGGTCATTATATCTGCTTTAAGGAATAAGGAAAGGAAAAGTAAGTATCACATGTAATTACAGTTTGTGCTTGTTTTGCTACAAAAATAGGATTAGTGCAAACAACTTTAGCTACATCAACAAAGGTTAACTACAAGATGTAAGTCTTACTAATGCGAAAGAGTGCATGTGTTAGCAAGCTAAGAATGACACAGTTGTTTTATTGAAGGACCAATGTGCCTCTACACTGCCGTTTTTCCTATACAGAGTAACCTCCCCTTACTTCTGCTTGGATATAAATGTAGCACACTTGGGCTCGTACACTTCCATTGTCCAGGTATACGTAGCTCAATCGGTTTCAGTGATATTACAGTATAACAATCTGAAGTCCAGGGTTTCAATACCGGTTTGGCCAGCAGAATATTTTACACTCAGAACACGTTTGTTGATTATATTTTGTTTATTTTATCTGCATTGTAGTTTCATAAAAAAGTCCCGCAAGGTATGGTTTTATTTTCAAAAATTAATTATAAAACTATCGTCATGCCGGAAAAATCAGTTTTGATGTATCTATGGCAGTCGTACAGAGATCCAAGAATCTTGTGATATTTTATTTCAGACTGATTTTGTTTTAACATCTCTATACTTTACAGAGACAGATAGCTAATCGGAGAGCTGTAACACAAATCTGAACACTACTTACATGTTAGCTTCTTTTCCATGTACCTGCAACATAAATTTGGTTTATATTAAAACCATCTCCATGAAAAAAAAATTTCATTAAATTTATTTTAAACAACAATTATTAAAATTGCTAAAAATAATAATGCTTGACAGCTACTTCAATCACAATTATCCTTCACACGGTATTGTTAAGTTAGGTATATTATGGTTGACCATTGTCTCAAGTAAGGTATGTTATGGTTGACCATTGTCTCAGGTAAGGTATGTTATGGTTGACCATTGTCTCAGGTAAGGTATGTTATGGTTGACCATTGTCTCAGGTAAGGTATGTTATGGTTGACCAATGTCTCAGGTAAGGTATGTTATGGTTGACCAATGTCTCAGGTAAGGTATGTTATGGTTAGCAGTGTAACAATTCACTGGAGCACAATTGAATCGTATCACATCTTCAATGCTGAGTTGTAATAATTTCGGTTAATCATACATGTATACACATCAGTAAATATACACATTCTAAAACCTTATAATAATTGAGGGTCCCTCAATTTTCACATGGTTTTAGATTGTGTTCAAATAGTATTGCTATTATTAACTGATGTGTATGCATGTATTATTAACCGAAATTAATAAAATTTACATCATATAGCGGAACTACACTGGGTCGATCGTCTGCAACCAGATAACTTGATTGGTAGAGTGTACGTCTGGAGTTCAGAATGTTCGAAACCCAGTCTGGTTGTGCATTTTTCCTCTCCTATTACACATATATATTACTCGAAATCCCAAAACCGAACTCCTCTGGGGCAAACAGGATTTTGGGGCAAAACTACCGGACACCATGACTAACCCTGGATTCAACAGGTTGGGCACAACGATGCATATGGGTAATAATCCTGCATTTGGGTAACTGTTACCCATTTGAGTAACAATTTTATAACTGAAATGAAAGTCAAAGAAAAACACACAAAGTTCTTTTTATACTTTCAACAAAATCCAATAAATAACACAATTTAGTACATTTGTGCACAAAGATTTATTAATTCTGATGTGTAACTTTTTGTGAAAAGGACAAAACACTTCACTGGCTTTGTTCTCCACTGACTTCAGTGTGTAGGCAATGGGACCATCCAGTGCAAATGTGACAGGTAAGCATGATATTTTTCTGTGTGCTATTTATAGCTACTCTACAACACACTATTTGTCATTTCAACAAATTCAGACAACTGAACTAACATGTTTTTGTGCACAATTGCACTCATTTTTATTGGATTATGTTAAAAGAATGACACCCTTTTTTGTTCATAACGTGTAAGCAAACTTTGTGTTTTTCTCTCACTTTATTACCCATTTCAGTAATAAAACTGTTACTCAAAAGGGTAACTGTTATACCCAAAGGTAGGATTATTACCCCATATGCGCCCAACCTGTTCCACAGCTGCTCCGGTTCTGGAATATATGCGATATATTATCGTTCCCACTAGATATCGCACCCCCTTATACTAATAAATCCTTTTTGATTTATTAGTATAAGGGGGTGCGATATCTAGTGGGTTTGGGCAATAATATCTCACATATATTCCAGAACCCGAGTACCTACTGGTGACCTGTTCAAGTACTTGCCACGGTAGTGTGAAAAGTATGCTTGGCAAAGAGACCCTCAAGTATGTGTTGTAAATGGTGCTGTTAGGGGCAAGTACTTAGAAAAAGAGGAAGGAGTGTTGCGGAAATGAAGGCACTGGGTTTTATATTCAGGTCTACAGTTCTGCTTTTTTTAATGTGAATATAAGGATGAGTGACCTGATAATGTAAGACGAATGGTCGTTTCAAAGATTTATAGAAATGTAAACCTTGCAGATTTCAATTTCTGATTCTTCCTTTCCCAATCAATTTTCATCTCATGATCACGAGTGGGTGTCTGACAAATTTTCCCGTCTGGACAGTGTAACAGACATGTTAGGGAGTCTGGGTTGGCAAACATTAACCAGATCCAAAAGCAGACTGTGTTTATTTTACAAAATAGTCTACCAGACAGTAGCAATCCAAATGCCACCATATGTAGTCCACCCAACGAGACTATCAAGAAATGCCCACCCCCAATCTTTTCAGCAAATCCCTACCAATAAGGACTTTTACAAATACTCGTTCTTCCCCCTAACCATAGTCCAATGGAACGCCCTCCCGTTAGAAGCTTGCAGCATTCCATCACTTGACACCTTCAAGAAGGCAATCAGTGATACTCCCTTTGTTAGGCCATAGGCTATGTCAGCGTGTTTTTAACTTCAACCTCCCCCGTCCCCTTCACCCCTTTCATCCTAGTTCACCTACCCGAATTCACTATTTCTGGCTCTGTATGGGAAGAGTTCCTAAAGGTGGCCAGAGTTGATATGACCAACACCGAATCAGAACTCTTCCCAAATACAGCTCAGTTGGAGTGTATGCTACTATATATTAGGTAAACAATCTTCAAACTATTAATATCAACACCCCCCACCCCCCTCCTTCACACCCCGACCCAAAGTCCATAATAGATCCGCTATTTTGTACAACAGGAGCTATCAACATCCGTAGAGGTTCCATAAAATATGCCCTTGCATGGGCAGTAGCAGGTCTAAACTGATACAAATACTCTCTCATCACACTTTTCTTTCTTTCCTCTCTCTGTCCCTTATGCATGCACCAGTCCGCACTTTATCATTTCTATTTCGGTCACCACACAATACCTTTAAACATGCACAGACACGCACGCTGCACATAATACTCGAAAGAGAGTGTTGCAGAATAGATAGATAGATAGAACTAATTGACGATGTACGTAATCGAAACGTCGGCAACCGGCAAAAAAATATTAACTTTGGGCGCATATATTTACATTAATACGAATTATAAAACCAATACATGATTTTAAAATGGACAAAAGTATAGATACAAGTAAACTTACTTTTTTAGCTCTGGAGGATGGGCCTTACTCATGTTGATTTTTACGGATTGAGATCGTAGTTTAATGTATCAAAACAAAGACGATTTTAAAGCTGATGTCGTCAACGTCACGCTAACGCTTGAGTCTATAACGCATAAAAGGGATGCCTCATTCAATTATCCGGCTCATCAGAAAATCGGTAGTAATATGTCTTCTCAGGGATCATATAGAAACAAATAAAATAAAGATTTATATGAACAATAGAACATTATATCTACGGATTTCTAAATGTAAATCAAACAATAAAATGCACTAGAATTTTGAGGACTACAATAGGAAAAGTTTTGATGAACATGTAACACCTTGCCGAGAGTCGCAGAGACACAAGCCTATTAATGATGTTCATAATTGCTTGGTCTACGTGTTCTAGCGTTTGCCCATGGAGGATGTAATTATGGATAATATTTATATATTATAAATCAGAAAAATGATCCTTACGGACGAAGAAATATTATAAGAAGAAAATTTCTCAACAACGAGTCTTAAGTACTTTCATCTCTTCTTGGAGATTCTTCAGACTGTTTATTTGCATTCGGCAAACCTCGGCCGATTCCGGTACCTTTCATCTAGATGACCGTATCGGCCGAGAAGTTCCGAGTGATACAGCCGAGGTTAGATGGAGATCAGCCGAGGTGTGCCGAATGTGTTTATTTGAAGTATATGTTGTGACGTAATAAACTATATATATATGCTTCGTCTCGGCTTTCTACTTCTAAATGATAACACGGAATTAGATTAGATTATCTAAGTCCGTGATGGTAATGACCAATTTCAACAAGTTGAAGATAATGTCATGAGGGCCTGAGAAAGAGATTTAGTCGATTCCGAGAAAACCAAAATGATATATATACATGTAGAGGGTACAGTGACAGGAGAGCAGATTTAAAAGATTCAGTAGTAGAACAGGAGGATATGATATCTGGTGGGATCTTATTCCACTCAGATATTGATCGTGGAAAAAAGGATTGTTTTCTGACCTGGGTTCTGCAGTGTGGTATTTGGAAGGATTGGTGGTGGGCATGTCTTGATTGCCTGGTTGCTGGTATAAGTTTAGTGTGTTTACTAATAGAGCTGTATCTGATTGTTCACAATTTTGAACATCATACATAGGCTTGTGTCTCTGCGACTGTCGGCAAGGGATCGCCATTTAAGATGGTTTAACATACTGGAGACACTGGATGTTCTATGGGTGTAGACGTTTTCGTTTAGTACGTAACGAGCAGCCCTGCGTTGTACCATTTCAATCTTATTGATGTTATCCTTGGTGTATGGGTCCCAAACAGGACAGGCATACTCTAGGGATGGACGGACTAATTATTTGTATGCCTGTGCCTTAACTGATATTGAATCTATTTCTAAGTTTCGACGGAGGAAGACAAGTGTGGAATTTGCTTTGTTAGTAATATTATGTATGTGGGAGTCCCATTTCAAGTTAGATTGGATTGTAACACCCAGGTATTTTGCTTGGTCTGCGTGTTCTAGCGTTTGCCCATGGAGGATGTAATTATGGATAATGGGGTTTCCCCCCTTGTTCACAGACAACACATTACACTTGCTTGGGTGAATGGCCATCTTTCATGTCTTTTCCTAGAGCGCCAGTTTGTCCACGTCTTGCGGTAGAGTTTCAGCACTGTTAGACTTGACAACTAGATTAGCGATAGTGTCGTATGCAAACAAGCGGATGGTCGCGTTTAGGCCCAGAGGGATGTCGTTAATGAAATTATTATTATTATTATCGGAAGCAAGAGTTTTTCTTTTCCATTAATTTTTCATCAATAATCTCCTCTAAAATAGTATATTACATATAGTAATGTAACAGGAAATAATGTAGTGAGCTTCCAGTGGGAATCGAACCCGCGATCACCGACTTCCTCCTATCAGAGACGACGTATATATTACAATATATACGTCTCTGCTCCGATAGACAATGGTCTAGATTTAAGTTTCTTCAGTATACATAAATTAGAAACGGAATTTTAAACGGCGGTATTTGATGCGTAAATACACTTATAGCATTGTATATTACCACTGTCAGCACGGACTTAGATAACAATCTAATCTAATCTAATTCCGTGCTGTCAGGTACGTACATGTAGGCTACAATTTTTTTTTATCAATCTAATCAAAATTAGATCTTCGCATCGCTCCCGTTTCCTGAAATGTTTCGATGCGAAGGTCTAATTTTAATTAGATTGTTTTTTTGTATTACCTATTATGAACTTTATGTACTCTCTTGAACTAGTTTGATAAGTGACATCTACGGAAGAATTGTGAGTACTACCGAATTAAAGGACTCCGTAACATTCTCACAAATGATACGTTTTGGAGATTTGGATTGCCTTAATACCTTGAAGTTTTTTAAGCATCCGATCGGGACTGAAAAATAGAACCCCTGCCGTCTTGGTGACAAGCGCGAGTGCGCAATCCACTGCGCCACTCCACCACCTAACGTTAGTGAGGGCAACTTAATCACATTAGCAAGGGTTTCAGTTCATAACTCGTTACATGTCGACGTGCAATTAGATCAGCTAGATAATGGCTCTCATTTGACTGCTATTGAAATTCGATGCAATTTCATCAGATCTTACTTAAGTTATGGCCATATCCAGGGGTTGTGTTCACTTTCGCTGTAGAGAGCGAAAGCGAAAGTGAGCGTAACCCGGCCTGGATATCGACTTATGACAGAAATAAAGAATTCCCATACCCGGCTTACTGGGGGGGGGGGGGGGGGGGGGGAACATAAAATGGAGAAAGAAAAATGCCAAGATATTTTTTCCGCTAAGCATTATGTGATTTGTAAAAAATGAGGAACAATCTCCCACCTAATGTAGTGCACGCAATGCCAGTGAAACAATTTGAGTATGACAGATGAACACCGGAAAAATCCAATGCAAAGATATATTGTTTTAAAGGAATAATATAGCAATGAAATGTAAAATTACAATTTTAATAACGCATATTTATAGTACGTGCCGACTGTCAAAGGATTGTAAATTCTGTACATATTTCTTCTTCTTCTTGATACAAGTCATACGCAGCTTGATTGTACTATATGACGCCTCAAATTAAAACAGGGTAAAAGAGAATAGTTAATCTAAAAGTTAAAACTATGTACACTGGTGAAAGCTGTTAACTAGAGTTGGTATGACTGGGGCCAGGGGATGGTACTCGACCAGGCTTTGAAGTCTTCTAAAGCTGCTGCCTCCACAACTTGTTCTGGTAGTTTGTTCCATTCCCTGGTGGATCTTGGGACATTTCATGTACATTGTCAGAATAATCATTTTTGTCGCAAAAATAGCTCTCAATAGCTAATGTTCCATGTTGATATGTATGCGACTCTAAATAAAGCTTCTTGTATCTTGTTGTATCTTGTAACGTTTCCTATAAAAAAACAGTTCACAATTTTTACAAACTGCAAAAAAAACTCCATTTGCTACTTGTACCGCAGAATAAAACACGTAAGCCTGATATACATAATATAAAACTTTTGTCTTATAACATAAATTATGTATAGTGTCCAAGCTAATCAGAGACGTATATACTACATATGGCTTTATATGTCTCTGAGCTGATGTAGTTAACGTCGGAGGTTTCGGAAAGTTCCTTATCCGTATCCAACTTTAAATTTAATGCCCTATTACATTCTCGGTCTTCAAAGCACTTTAGTGCACCGGTTTGTTGACGTCACTACTTTTCGTGCACTAATCTTCAGCGCCATTTCTCATTTTTACAAAGAGTTCTGTCAAACTGAAATGCAACGCCTTTAAACAAACGTAAGTTGCGATCCCGACAATGTTTCGATTGCACAATTATGGGGCAGTATTACTATGGATTGGTTGACAAGTGAACGATGCACGGCTCCTACAGGTGGAGATCCATCTACACAACAACAACAACAATACGTTCTGTTTATAAATAACATTAGAGAATGTATAAGGATCTGTTATGTACAAAACCCCATATAAATTAAATTATCTCTCACACGGTTCAGAATTTTGAGTTTCCACTTGGTTTATATCAGTGAGGAAACTTCGTGGGCTGATCAATTTTCCTTAAAAGAAGAACGAAGGCAATTAACATGCCCATAGGATCCGGGTCGTTTCGCCCTAAATAGGTTGTTCCGCCCTAATATAAGTATATATTTTTAAGTGGTAAGTATCTATCGAAATGTTTAAAATGATTATAAAAGCATTCCATGTTATGTATCACAAACAATTGCGTTGTCAAGGGAATTTCATGCACGGCCCCTTCCGCGTATCTGGTTCAGGTACTAGCCTCGTCTGTCAATACACCTATACTTTAATTATAGGTGTATTGACAGACGCGGCTGGTACCTTATCTGAACCTAGGCTGACCTCGGGAATATTAGCCACGTGTAGATTGAGTGGTCCAGACATGCCTTACTGAAACTAAAAATTCTGACTATTGATAGTTTGCGTTATTTCTTTAAAAAACTTGATCAATCTACATGTAGATGTTTATATGTTATATAATTTAGTGGATGCATGCATGAAAGAGTGACATATTATTCTTGATATATTGTTATTTATTCTCCGAAACTGCATTTGTTTAGCTCTGTGCATGCCTACAGTTTGGTCCAAGCAAGTTCGTTTATCATGGAATATTTCTGCACCACCTGAACTGTGGTAACAGTGATACGCTAATGAGACCCAGGTGTAGCTACATTGTATGTGCAGATCTGGTCGACTACATACAAATCTAACAAGTTCTAGGAATGTCCTCCTGGTCAACTGGCAGATGACATCTATGGCTGAACTGTATCTCAGCTGCTGAAGTCACAGTTGCTGTGTAGGAGTTCAACTCCACTCAACTATTACCGGGCCTCCATACCACAGTATGTCACATCATCCTCCCGGCCTCCGTAATAGAGTACTATGTCTCCATAACTAGGGAAAATATCGACACGTTCCCTCTCTGGATAATCATATCCATATGTATAAGTCAGTTCATAAAACTGCTGTCTCAGTGCATCGTAGGTGGAAAACATGGACAATAACACCGTCGGCCATTACAGGTTTCCATACTTTTGTCCTCTGACAAAACTGACAGGTTTCTCACTGGGAAATAAGCTACAAAATATAAATAACACTAGTAACTTCATAATTCTACACTATCATGTTAAATATCTATAATATACGCTTTAAACATATTACTTATACAACATTCTGCAACATGCGTAAACACACAACGTCGCTCACTCATATATGCTCAATCGTATATATTAATGACCACAATAACATTGATATATTATTACATTTGTATAATGTCATTGTGACTTTGTTTCTTATAAATAAATAAGCCCCAATGATCCTAATTCAATATCTAAACAACTACCACACAAACCCGTTCGCTCTCACTGCGCTCCGTACAATTTCCCACCTGTTTACTATTTGAGAAATACCGTTTATTACACGGTCAAACATACACAGAATCAACAATCTAACTCACGAGATGCACACAGATCTATCAATGATTAAAATATAACTAACCGTGAGCTGTATTTCACACTAACTCCCGAATTCTTCACAATAACAGAAGCAGTAATGAAAACAATGGTCACGCCATTACACCTGTCTTTCACTCCTGTCCAAACAACTCTGCGCGTGCCCAGGTAAATATAAAGTTGGCGCGCTTTTCATTACCCGCGAAATACAAATACCAATAACCTACCTTTCCTATTTAATACTCACTCATACTTACCGCATGGAATATAAAGTAACCTCAAATGTCGATATGTGACACACGTCCCCATTAAGAAAAATGCATTTTGGAACAAATTGTATTTTTACAATACACGTATTAAAACATTTTGCTCCCCACAATATATATCCTGGACTATGTACAAATTGTCCTGCATGTATGCATATCTACAGTCTGCTGAGGTAATCTGCGCCCACATTGTCCTTGCCTCTGATGGCACGAATCGTAAAACAATATGGCTGTATCTGCAATGCCCATCGCATTAGTCTAGCGTTGGTGCCGTTCATCTTGTTGAGATAGATCAACGGCTGATGATCGGTTTCTAGGATAAACTGCCTTCCATAAATGTACTTCTGGAATTTAGTGATTCCCCATACAACAGTTAAACATTCCTTCTCGACCACAGCATAGGATTTCTCAGCATCTTTCAACTTTCGGCTAGCATAGGCAACGGGAAATAGACTGTCAACAGCTTCCTGTAGAAGGACGGCCCCAAGACCGTAGTCTGACGCATCAGTCTGTAGTACAAACTCCTTCTCAATATCAGGTAGTGTCAGTATTGTTCTGGATGATAACATTTTCTTTAAAGTTTGGAAAGCTCTTTCTTGAGGTTCCAAACACTTAACTCGATGAGGTTGTCCTTTTCTAGTGAGATCAGTTAATGATATCGAAGCAAAGTCCGGTATGAACTTCCTGTAGAAGCCTGCCATTCCCATAAATGATCGCACTTGCTTCTTTGTCTCTGGTGTCTTAACATCAAGAATAGCTTTAATCTTGTTAAGATTGGGTGCAAGACGCTGGTCACTGATGATATGACCAAGGCATTCCAGACTTCCATATCCTATGGCACACTTTGTAGGTCTGGCTGTAAGACCTGCACTTCAAAGCCTCTGGAATAGCGTCTTCAAGATGAACAAATGTTCTTCCCACGTCCTGGTGTACACAAGAATATCATCTATAAAGCTCTCGATCCCAGTGATGTCTTTCAGAAGTTTCCTCTCATGCGACAAAATGTTGCTGGCGCATTCACGAGTCCAAAAGGCATCACAGAAAATTTGAACAATCCTATAGGGGTCGAAAAAGCTGTCTTTTGTTGAGCTGTCTTCGCCATAGGTACTTGCCAATAGCCTTTACTTAGATCTAATCGAGAGAAGTATCGATGTCCTGATAGGCGTGCAAATGTCTCATCCGCATTTGGCATTGGCTCTGCATCGAAGATGGTAACTCGATTCAGCTGGCGATAGTCAATACAAAACCTATTACTGCCATCTTTCTTTTTGACTATTACAACTGGAGCAGAGTAAGGTGACTCGGCCGGCGTTATCACACCCATTTTCAACATCTTCCCAACTTCATCTTGGATTGTCGCCTTCATACTGTAGGGTATACTATGACTCTTAGCCCTGACTGGTTCATCTGTCAAAGTAGTTATGTCGTGTTCTCCCAGGTTGGTTTTCCCCGGAACATCTGTAAGGACGTCTTCAAATCCTTCTAACATTTCCTTGACATCTGTCTTTTGTTCCACATTGAGTAATTCTGATACCAGTACATCTTCAGTAGTTTCAGTTCTTATTGGTCCTGGCGAGGTAACAATTGCATCTTCGAGAATCTCTTCGTTCTCACTGCTGTCTTCCTCCTCAATGACTGCAGCACAAGTGACTGACAGAACACTTGAATCATTTCTGACGACACAGTTACCATCCCTGTCCACATATAGTCGCAATAGGTTTGCGTGGTAAGACTTTCTGTTGACTAGAACTTTGTAGTCCATGGACCCCTTTCTCTCCTCAATTACATATGGTCCTTTCCACTGCATTAACAACTTGTTCCTCTTTGTTGGCAGAAGCACCAGCACCTTTTGACCAGGATTCATCTTTCTGTCTTTATTGCTTGGGGAGTTCTGGCTGACTTCAATTGCTGCTGAGCCATCTTGCATGTCTCTTCCAAACGTTCTTTCAGATCAATAACATATTGATAAGTGGTCTTTGTATCAGGATCAGGAATATCCTTGGTCAATAGTTCCCCGAGAATCATCATTGGGCCTCTAACCTTTCATCCGTATAACAACTCAAATGGAGAAAATCCAAGGCTCTCCTGCGTCACTTCACGATAAGCAAACAACAAAGCGTTGATATACTTGTCCCAATCATGAGGTCTTTCGGAACACATCCTACGAAGCATTTACTTGAGAGTGCCATTAAATCGTTCAACAAGTCCATTGCACATCGGATGGTACGGCGTTGTAGTTAACTGGCGAATAGACAACAAACAGCTGACTTCTCGCATCAAATCCGAAGTGAATTGTGAACCCTGATCTGTCAGCACTTCTTGAGGAATTCCAACACGACTGTAGACATCAACTAAGGCCTCTGCAACACGTTCAGTTTCAATGCTCTTCAATGGAACTGCTTCCGGATATCGCGTCGCATAGTCGACTATGGTGTGAGTATGTAACGGTTCCCACTTTCAGTTACAGGATCCAATGGTCCAACTATGTCAATGGCTACACGTTGGAACGGAGTGTCAATCAATGGCATTGATCCTATTGGCACTTTCCCAACCTTTCCCTTCAGAAATGTTCTTTGGCATGTGTCACAAGATCGGCAATATCTCGTCACATCGGTCATCATTCCTGGCCAGAAAACCGCTGAAGTTATCCTTTCCAATGTTCTCTTCGCTCCCATATGACCGGCCATCATAGATTCATGAGCCAACTGAGGAACTGTCGGTCTGTATGCTGTCGGAACCACCAGTTGCTTGAACAACCGTCCATTGGCACAGGATGGGCTCTTGAACTCTCTAAACAACAATCCACGTGATACATAGAAACGCGATTGCCCTCCATCAGAACGGTCCTTCGTGCTTCCATTCTTCGCCAATTCCCATAGCGTCTTCAAGCTGTCATCTCCTTCGTGAGCACTTTTGATATATGTTGGCGATCCTATGTCCTTCACACTTGGCACCTTAAGTAGACGATATATCTTTCCCTCTTTCTGCTTATGTGCTCTTTTTGGGGGAAAAAGAGACCTAGAAAAGCTTGAGATTAGACTGTCTTTGCCATACACAACTAAACCATTTCACTCTAAAAATATTTTTAGGACGAAACTACCCAGGGCGAACAGGATTTAGGGCGAATCTATCTAACACTGTTCCCATATGACATACTATATATTTTGTAGTACGAACTACCAAACCCTTAGGAAAATTCCCTGGTACAAAAGTGCATGCAGTACGAAAACAAATCTGTATGAAAATTCTGGTACATCAAGTTTCAACAACCTGAAATATGGTATATAGGGGAAAGTGTTGAAATTTCGGCCACCTTTTTAGCTGCCAATATTTCTAAACAAAAATGACTTTTTCTTGATTTTCTTTTGTAGAACATGTTATACGTATCCCTCCCCCCCCCCCCCCCCCCCCCACCACC